GTTCTGCACCATATGAAACCTGTCATCATGAAATGTGACTCTGGAAATATGCGTTACTTAATAAAATAAAAAAAGTACAAAAAAAGAAAGAAAAAAATGAACAGAACTGAAGCCAACAAAGATTTGTGTCCGTAAACATTAGATAATTGACTTTTATAAAATAACACGTTCATAGATAGATGATGCCTGAGTATAGTACCACATAAAAACTAAAAAATACAACACATGACAACAAAATAAGCCTTTACAATAAGCAGTATGTAATGTACATGTCAATAACAAGGAGGGCTCTGATTTAGATGCATTTGTCATATAAAAAAACATCATATTGCACTGGATTCAGCAGGTTTCATTCAGAGAAAGTTCTGATACTCGAAATGAATGAGAAAGCACATTCAGGTGTAACGCACAGATGATGAAAATGGTCAAAAGCTCCGCCCCAATGGTTACTGTTGTTCACTTAGACAAGCCTTATGGTGTGAGTGCACACCAAAAGCGAATTTAATTATTTGCGCGAGTATATTAGCCATATATTAGCCAAAGTCAATGCAAAGAGGCAAATAGACTTGAATTCGCAATTGCTGCAAATGTGCGATATTTAGGGTTGGGTATCGTTTGAATTTGATCAATTCCGATTCCGATTCTGCTTATCGATTCCGATTCTTATCGGTTCCCAGTTTCGATTCCAATGCGGTTAAAAAAAAAATAATTCAAACATTTAGATATCAAACATATTTATTCTGTGTCTCTTTTTGCAAAACATTTAGTTGAAACTGAATACCATGAACAAAAATCAGCAGGCTACATAAAAACTGGAATCGATTAAGAGCTGTTTGTGTGCAAAATAGAGCTACACAACTCTGGATAAATTGAGTTTTTTTTTTTTATTCATAAATTACATGTGATTTTTTTAAAACAAATATCACATGTAATTTATAAATGAATGATTCAATGACTCACTTAAGATTTACTATTTTCATTATTGGATGAATCAGTGTTTTTGAATGAATCTCTTGAATGAATGATTCAAAGACAAATGCATTTTTAACAGCTCCTTTTCGCCACCTACTGGCGTAACAACGTAATCGATAAATCTTTATTTGAAACATCAAATTACTTTCAAAAGGTGATTTACTCTATTTTAATCGCTACTTTAAACATCAGTGTTTATATTCAAACTATACACTTTTATCCCCGTACTTCTGTGATTATTTGAATGATTGTAACACAGAAATAACGATACTGTGTAGTTGAAAAGATTCTTTGTGAAGCTGTTTCATACACATGACAGCTGCTCTCTCTAGGTCAGCGGCAGCGCGAACACAGATTTTAATGTTAAAATCACAGGGACGAACAGAGAGATAAGATCACGTTGGTGTTTGAATAGTGTTCGAGATCTTTAACGATCTGTTTAATTAAAGTGCTTTGTCATGTTGGTGGTGACACCTCTCTTGCAATACTTCATTACTGGATGAATCAGTGTTTTTGAATGAATCTCTTGAATGAATGATTCAAAGACAAATGCATTTTTAACAGCTCCTTTTCGCCACCTACTGGCGTAACAACGTAATCGATAAATCTTTATTTGAAACATCAAATTACTTTCAAAAGGTGATTTACTCTATTTTAATCGCTACTTTAAACATCAGTGTTTATATTCAAACTATACACTTTTATCCCCGTACTTCTGTGATTATTTGAATGATTGTAACACAGAAATAACGATACTGTGTAGTTGAAAAGATTCTTTGTGAAGCTGTTTCATACACATGACAGCTGCTCTCTCTAGGTCAGCGGCAGCGCGAACACAGATTTTAATGTTAAAATCACAGGGACGAACAGAGAGATAAGATCACGTTGGTGTTTGAATAGTGTTCGAGATCTTTAACGATCTGTTTAATTAAAGTGCTTTGTCATGTTGGTGGTGACACCTCTCTTGCAATATGTTAGCTTATCACAAATATTATACTTAGCTGTTACTTGCTGATCACAAGTGTAGCAAAACACTAGAGCGCTTAGAATAGCGAGGAAGGTCCTGGCAGATCGCAGAATCGGGTCTTCACAGATGGAAAAAAAGCATGGTTAAAAAAGTATCCGATTCTTGACCTTAAGTATCCAATTCTGGAATTGGAATCGATTTTCGATTCCCAACCCTAGCGATATTCGCCTCAAGTTGAAAAATTTCAGCTCGAGCGGGAAATACGCATGACATGTTGTGGCGCAATCCAATCAGTGAAGAGCTTATTGGCACGTCTGGTTTGACACATCCGGCTGTATCAGAAAATGGAGGAGAGCATTATTGTAGCCATCTGCGGGCACCCTGAAATTTATGACTTCGCTTTGGTTTTGGTGTGCACACACCATTACAGAAATTAGCAAATCTACATAAAAAGCATGACTTGTAGTAAAATGATTCTTACGGGGGATGAAATGAAAATTATTCTTATCCTCAAATTTGTCTTTAAAGATACTTTCTATAAAATTGCATTTAAAACTATCTTAACATGCTTCCATAAGCTTGTCTTATGATATGGCAAACGGTTAGTAAGGTCCAGTAGGATTGGTCAGTAGTGTTTTAAGGCGGGGCTTAGCACAAAGTCAATTAACCTTTTATCCAGCAGATTTTCGTTCAACTGATTCTGAGCTTTGTGTCAAGACTGAAGAACAAATCAACATTCCACACTCAAGTCCAGACAGGTTTATCAGACTCACAGCACAAATCTTCTCCTCCTTTGCCAGTCACACAGGCCAGTCGTCTGTTCAGATTTATTTTATTTATTTATTTTTTTATTGACGTTCAGTTTATTGAGCTGTCGACTGAGATGGCTTGGAGCCATTTTCATTCTCTGGGAGAAAGAGAATGACAAAACACCTGAAGTGTTTTTAATTTAACCAATAAATAAATAAATAAAAAGAACATTTTCTTTTTTCAAAAAGTCCCGTTTAGCACTTATTTGGACTTAAAAAAAAAAAACCTTACTCACTCTTGAAACCTGCAAAAATGCCTTTAATGCGTCTTATCCTGGAATTTCCTAATTATTAGGAGAACTACAGCTACAGCAGAAACAACAGTGTTTTTGAGGCTTGGCACAACATCAGTGTATATGTGTCTGTCTGTAATGTCTGCAGCGAATTATGCAATGTAGACAAAAATCTTTTTTCAAACTTATCCACTGATACTGTGATAAAAAGGATTAAAAAAAAATCACAAGATAGAATAGAGGTAAATATATAGAAAACACATATACACGTACATAATACAGAGCTTTAGTGTTCCAGTATATAATTAGTAACTTTCTAAATACCCAACATGATTGGCCAGTGTGGTTCACATGATCTCTTAAATTGGTCAATTATAGACAATTGTGGAGGAAAAAAAAGAAAAGAGCTGACAACTTAATATGTATTGCTGTCTTCCAAGGATGAAAACAGGAATCACAATTCTCTACTGGTTCTAAACATTTTGAGTAACATCTGAAAACCTGTTTAGATTTACTCAAAGACGTTTGGAAACAACTATTTTCCTCGTTCACAGTGTTTGCCTTTGTACAATATGTAATTGTAACCATTAAACATCTGTTTTGGGATAAAATAATAGTTATCCTCCCTCTTATTTTCTTTACCCATCATGTACAGAATAACTGTCCTGGTCTGTTTACATACTGCTACCCACAGCGGAGCTCTTTGGTCTAGTGATGCTTGAGTAGTGTTGCGATCACACACACACACACACACACACACACACACACAATATATTACAGCGATAGTCTGGACTAGGAGGCGGAACAGTGCTGACTTTATCAATAAATGAAACTGATTGGCAAGTTTCATGCTGTTTGTATATTACTGCATTTCTGATTATATTAAAACGATTGGCACTAGACTTTTCTGTTTCTGATGATAGAATATTAGCCTTTTAGTTAGTTCTGCTCAAATAAATCAAACTGTGAAAAACTATAAATTATAAACTACTAGCTTAAATTAAATCGTGGCACACAATGAAAGGGACATTGTCGCCTCTGGCTTGCTTAGTTGGGGACACTTCATTTCCAGCGATACCGTTGACTTGATTGCAAAGATACTATTTAAACTGAGCTGGATGTTGACATCACTGAATTCAATGATGAACTGTCTTTAACTGAAAAATCAGTGTTTACTATTGTCATTTTGCATTATTGACACACTATTTTCCTAATTAATGCTGTTCAGTTGCTTTGACACAATCTGTATTGTTAAAAGCGCTATATAAATAAAGGTGACTTGACTTGACTTGACTTGACTTGACATTCATGGTTTTGTTTCAGATTTAAATATAGAAGTAAACAAATGAAATCAAGTTGGCACAAAATACTAGGCACGGAAATAAACACAATATTTTTTCCTTTATGAGTCTATGCACAAGGCTGATAACTGTCTGGTGATTTATTCAAATTAAGCTTTGTTATTAAAACGCAGAGGAGGTTTATTAGCTATTTTGTAATGTTTTAATAGATAATTGATTGTGTTATTTAGGCTCGACCCACAAACTAACAGTTGTCTGGTAATTCACGGAAATCAAACACCTCTCTGAGGATCTGTGAGTCCGTAAACATGATTAACCCGTACATGTAATTTCTCATCAGTGATAAAAAAAAAAAGGAAACTCAACAAGCGTCTGACATATGGCTTTGGCAAATCAAATAAGCTTTAAATGAATACTGAATCTGGCTTCCACATTGTTTGATAGCTTTTAAAAAAAACTTTTCAACATTTCATTAAACCTCCGCTCACAGATTAACAGTCCCAAGAGTCCAGTTAAATTGATCTGTCTGACTCATAAGTAACCTTGTTTGTATAAAAATAGAGACTATTCCTTTAAAACGGGGCCTAGTAACAATGTAGTGAAATTAAAACCTGGGTATACTATTCCTCACTGGGTTCATTTTTTTTTCCTCTAAAGTATACTATTCCTCACTGGGTTCTTTTTTTTTTTTTTCCTCTAAATGAGTAGTGCTCCATATAAATATTTTTTGGACATTTGTAACACATTTTACTCAGCTATTTCAAATACATATTCATACTTTTTATACAAAAACGGATGACAGATTGATATTGGGAGACAGTCACTGAAATGACTTGATGTGTCTGTAATTTTCCACAAAACTGAACGCGTCCTATCTATATATGTAGTGGCACATAATGGCATTATTGGCACAAAGTTCAGGAGAGTCTTTTCTCCACACAAGCAGACGTATTGTGTCAGAGAACGTCCCATGGCCTCTCCACTCCAGCACACTCACATGTGCAGTAATACACGTATATAATATATCAGCTCTAGGTATATCATCTCTAAAATTATCACATGTCTATGGAAAATAAGTTGGGAGTGGTATCCATAGCACTGCATCAGTCTAGAAAAATAAACATCTTCAGTCCACTTCTAGAGAGATCCAACATTTGTACAAAACTGCCTGATCGTCTCACTTCCCGTCTCACTTCCCGTCTCTTTAATTGCTTGTCGTTGTTGTTCTTGTGGTTTTGGTTTGCTTTATTGTGTTTTAGTCTTTTGTGTTTGATTCACAGGTTTTCCAATGAGATCCTGAAAGATAAATTGAAAAGATTCAATTTAAGTATTTAAATATTAAATTGACTTTTTAAATAGAATAAGAACTGATAGTGTAACTTTGTAAATAAACTACTCTAAAAGTATGTAAGAAAAAATAATGATTTAACTTACATGTTACTTTATACAACTTGAAATGTCAACAAATGTGACCCTGGATCACAAAACCAGGCTTAAGTCGCTGGGGTATATTTTTAGCAATAGTATCCACTGAACGCAAACTGCGTATGCTGTTCTGTGTCAGCCGCGCTGCACGGATATGCTTTTTTTGTTCAAATCAAAGCGTAAATAAACGCAGAAAACGTATCCGTGTGGTGCGGCTGACACAGACAAGTAGAACAGTATATGCAGTTTACGTTCAGTGGATACTCTCCAAAATGGCGATGACAATTAAATTGTGTTCCGAAGACGAACGAAGCTTTTATGGGTTTGGAACGACATGGGGGTAAGTGATTAATGACAACATTTTCATTTTGGGGTGGAGTAACCCTTTAAAGTTGTCCAAATTAAGTTCTTAGCAATGCATATTACTAATTAAAAAATGTAGTTTTGATATATTTACGGTAGGAAATTTACAAAATATCTTCATGGAACATGATCTTTACTTAATATCCTAATGATTTTTGGCATAAAAGGGCATTTTACGGGTTTGGAACGACATGGGGGTAAGTGATTAATGACAAAATTTTCATTTTGGGGTGGAGTAACCCTTTAAAGGCGATTTTCTGCAATATTGTCCTATCCTAACAAACCATACATCAATGGAAAGCTTATTTATTCAGCTTTCAGATGATGTATAAATCTCAATTTCGAGAAATTGACCCTTATGACTGGTTTTGTGGTGCAGGGTCACAAATACATTAGTACATATAGAAATGAACATTAACCTAGATTAAGTAATTGATAACACTTTACAATAGGTTCCATTTGTCATTATTAGTTAACATGAACTAACAATTGAAAAACTTCTGCTTCTAATCTACTTCTGCATTTGTTCTTAATGAATGTTAAAGTCAGTATTTACTAATATGAGGGTTATTATAGTTAATTAAAACTAAAACCATTAAAAATCTGTTAATAAATGTTAACTGAAATAAAATAAAATATACAAAACTTAAATTTATTTAATTCAGCTAGTTCCCAAAGAAACATTTTTCATTTTCATTTAGTTAGCTTGATGTACTACAATAAAAAAAACTAAACATTAAAAAAAAAAAAAAAAAAAGTATACATTTAAAAACACACACAATAAAAATGACAAACACACACACAAAAAAAACGAAATCTTTAACAACAATTAAATTAATTAACACTGTAACAAATGTATTGTTTAAATAATAAGTACTGTAACAAATGCATTGCTCATTATGTGAAATTGTCACCAATTATTTCTATAAAAAATGTTAATTGTTAGTTTATGATACAAGTGTTACCATTATATTAGTATTTTCATGTCACACTATATCTCTGCTGTTGGTGTAAATTCTGTTTCAGCACAATTTTTAAAAGATATGAGCCACATGTCTGCAACTCATTTCAATTCTATGGCTAGTGAAATATTCGTGTTGAACCCTGAGGAACTGTGATTTTCTAGTAAGTACACAAGCACTGGAAAACCATGTCAGAATTACACCATGTGGACTTCAGAGTCATATGAAATACAGTACGTACCAGGGCACAAATTGAAGACGTGGGCTCAACCCAAAGGTAGTAAAGGGGCCTCAACAGGAGATCTCAAACCATTTCTCAGACACAAAGGCCACAGGGATTAGCTGCCTTTCAGTGGGCGACGGTCTGGAATAGACAGACAGATCAGCTCTTCAGTCCTGCAGATATAAGCACTTCTGTCCAACTCCCTGATTCAAGCCTCTTTTTTATGTGGGGACTGCATTATACCACAAACAAAGCACCCACAGTTACATTTCCTCTAAACCCTCTCATCTAGGCTTTTGTATTCTGAAGCATACAGTATTAAATGAAGCTGCACTGAAATTATTCATACAATTTAAAGCTCATACTCAGTCTTTTGTAAAGACCAGGGCAATGGAAGAGCAAAAAACAACACTAAACAACTGTCACAACATACTTATCTGAAAAATAATGACTCTCTGGCAGATTAAACTGGTTATTTCCAAAATGCACATTAAAGGTTAAATTATTCTATTATTGAAGATTGTAGCAGAGAAAAACATGTTAAAAGCAGCACTTTAAGAATGGTAAAACATTTTAATTTTTTTTTAAATGAAGACACACTCTTGCATTCAAAAACAGTTTAAATGGAACAGAATACAGGGGTTTTAAGACCTCTGACATTTAAAGTTGAACTATTAACTTGACAAGCTGTCATAAATATCTCAAAAGTAACTCATAACTTCATGAAAAAACAGCATGAGGCATGATGCAACTGCCAAAGAGTCTGTCTGCTTGTGAATGGCTGTAGTGGTGGTGCATTATAGTGGATGAATTTAAAGATGCAACTTCTCTAAGAATGTTTTAACATGGAAACTGTCTCTCAGCTTAAGAACAGTTCAGAAAAAGGTACACAACTCTACACTTACACTGTAGGCACAAATATGTAATTTTTACTCACTTAAGCGATACAGTCCCGCATGTGGGATCGTTATTTCTGTGCCCCTGGGAGTACGGTCACACATATGGGATTTAGAATGTACAGTAACGTCACATAACTGCCAGATTAAAATGTGCTTTCGCGCTTTGGCTGGAGCTGAGCCAGTGATGGACGCAATCTGCGCTTGTCATATATCACAATTATGCAGTGTTTTCAACCACATAATGTTTATTTTAAGTTTCAGACATTAAATAGACATAACTACTAGAAAAACAATACATATATTGTTTGTAAAATACACACTGATGTCTATGGAAGGAGTAATAACAATCCATTCAATTATAATTTGACGAAGTGCTTTATTCATATTGGATACGCATTATGTAGGCAGGGCAGCACTTGAGGGGGGGACCGCGGTGAATAAAGGTCTCTCTATTTTTCCAGTTCACCAATCACTTACTTTCATGTATTTCGCGAGAAATGGATGAATTTATGTGTTGTAAATCCGACAGATAAAGTATGTTTCTTTGAATTGCTGTGCAACTAACGCCAATCACGTGTTATAGATCAACTAACAAGATCATAATAAAGGTTTGTAAATGACAAAACACATTCACTTTCACGTATCTGAGAATAGGAATATCAGTTTATGACACAGCTAACAAGTTTGTGAATATTTTGAATAAAACATGAAAAACGAAATAAAAGCGATACATCTGTCATACAGCGCTATTGTGGCTGCAGTGTTTCACGTGCCAAGCATGACGTGTCGCCATGGAAATAATAATGCGACAAAATAACAAACTCACTGATAGTGAGGGTCAGTTAGAATATTTTAATCTCATGCGTGAAAAGGTTAAGATACTAATATGTACCTCTAAGGTACTTATATATAACGTTTAGGGGTAAAAATGGTACAAAAGATGTAACGTTTAGATTTTTTTACCTCAGGGTGCCACCCCAGTAACATCTTTGTACCATTTTTTCTGAGATTGCACTGTAAAAAAAATTTTTTTTTAAATGTATTCAAAAATTTGACTAGTCATCTCAGGTTACCTAATTGATTTATCTTTTATATATATATATATATATAAATCAATTGGGTAACCTGAGATGACTAGTCAAATTGTTGACTATTGTGAACTTTAGGGTACATTTACGCGACAATGATTTACAACAAAACAGAAAAGTTTTCCTTTGCATTTTTGAAAAGTTTTGCTTGATCGAACTTGATCAAAATGATCCCTGTTCACATGGATCCATGAAAATGACTAAAACACTGTATTATGCATACCAGGCCAGCAGTTAGAGATGTCACTTTGTAAAGAAACATTTCACATTTTTTATTTTTTTATTTTTTCATGGGTTTTTCGTCATCATTTTGTGTTTTTATAGTTTACACAGAGACAATACTTGTATTATTTTCAAAAAACGTGCACTTTGAAACCCGTTTTCAAAAGTTTGCGTTTTCAGGCGCTGTTCAAAGTGCCATTGTCATGTAAATGAACAGCCAAGACAGATAAAAAGTTTTTTTTCCGTTTTTGGTTGAAAACTGTGTCGTGTAAATGGCCCCTTAGTTGAAAAAAAAAAGGAAAAATGGCAAACAGCCAGGGTCAAATGTGATGTGCACTTTAAACAGCATGTTATACATTTGTGCATAATGTTTCTTCTGCTCTGCTTTGGTCCAGTGTTCAAGATGTTTAGCATGAACATTATTTCTGACAGCACTAAACCTACTCTAAGCTATGAGGAAGCCAAACCCTGTCAGAATGTATGGACAGGGCTGTCAGTGCAGTCTCTTCGCTGTCCAAACTACTTGGTCAGCAACAGCAACCTCCAGCCCAGTTTTTTCTACAGAATATATATTAATCTTGGACCCTTGCCTGTTTCCATTGTAGGAGGTCTTGTAGATGGGTGTGTGCTGGATCATCTCATCCGTGTACACCGGTATGCCGGCCCGCATGCACTCGTGTGAGCACTGTAAACTGTCATTGTAGGCGGTGAAGATGTCCACCTTACTGGGCACGCGGGCGGGCGTGAAGTCGGTCAGGTTTTGACAGCTCTCCTCTTGTTGGTTGATCTTTCTCTGATGGCTGCTGTGTCGGCCATTCCCGGACTGCGCACAACTACAAAAACACGCACCAAATTCACAAAGCCAACATAAAATCATACCTTGAACCGCTGTGTCTGTCCTACATTTAACATGGACTGGGGAGGCAGACACAGACAAATTTAGCTCTGTTCGAAACCTAGTGAGCCTCCTCGCTGTGTCTTTTCTAAATAGGCATTCTGATCGAAATGGTACCTCATAAATGACTGATCTGAAATGCTCTACATAGGCAACAAAGTGCAGCAAAATGACTCAACAAAAGCTGATTTCAGTGTAACAACTTGTGAAGATCAACTCGATAATCCAGCATAAATAGAACACACAAATTTGGGGTCAAATAGTATGTTTCTAATGATTATTTTTGGTGATGTTATTTTATGTTATTTTTATTTTTATTCTTGAAGAATGAACACTTCTCTAGTTAACTCTAGAAGTATCTGTAAAACAGTACGTTTCTAATTTATTTTTAATTTTTGTATTGCTACTACTACCACTACCAATTGTTTGGGAGTATCTTGGATAATGAACATTTGAGTTTTTAATTATTTAATTATTTTTAATTATTAACTATTAACATTGTATTCATATTATTTTTGTTACCAAACTTTTTTATGAATAATCTTCAGTTTTGAATCAATCTTGAATAATGAACATTTCTCTTGCATCTGTAAAAAAAAAAGTATTTTTCTAATTATTTAAAAAATATATTATTATTATTATTACTACCATTTTTCTGAAGTAATTTTCAGTATTTGTTGAACCTTGGTTAATGAACGTTTTAGTGTCTAAATATTAGTTTCTAAATATTATTTTTTAAATTATTTGCATTTATATTAGCATTATTTTTATAATTAACCATTTTTAGAAATAATTTTATAATTGAATGAACACTTACTTTGTGACCAAAAAAAAAAAATATATAGCTCCCACATTCATGTTGCAATGCACTCTGGGATTGCTCTCTCTGCAGAAGATTCATAGAATTCCAAAAGAAGGTATCTTAGGTGTCTTAAAACACTGCCTACAGAGGAAGCTCAACAGGTTTGGGAAAAAAGCTATTGTGTACGAGTGTCCAGATTGCTGGGTGCAATAAGGGGTCACTGTCCACATTGACAGACAGAGTGATAGAGAAGTACAGATAATAAACAGACAGAGGGACAGGAATAGGGAGAGACAAACAGGAGGAACACAGACAGAAGTCACTGACAAGGTGCTGAAAGAAAAGAATGTTTCCTACCAGTTTTTAAGGACTAGAGTCGTGATCAAGGCTGCAACGATCATGATGAGGGACACAGTGATGGTGATGATCTGGTGAACAGCCAGACCTAAGAAGAGAAAAAACAAAGACAGCACAGTTATCAATGTCTCCATGGCAACTACTGTGAGCGCCAGTGCCTTTTGTAAGGTCTTTAATTGCAATAACACTGATACTGCATCTTAACATGTACTGCTCTATCTATGCCAGCGTAGCTTCTTCTAAGCCCCGTCTGCCACGTTACAGTAATTTAATCGTTCATTTGACCATTTCACAAAGTCTGGAGCATGAAACAGCTTGACTGGGAGAAGATGGCAAGCATACCAGCTGGCAAAAGGTCAGCAAACAACAATTAATGCAGGACAAGAACTCTCTGTTCCAGAATAAAGAGTGTCACAAGAACTATAAGCTACGCTGGCTTTCTCACTCCGTCACTCCCGAATGGATAGAAATGAAACCCTGCGGGGAGCCACAGTTACAGACTCTTAGATATAAAGAGTGCCACGACTTCCATTTCTTGCTGGAGCTGATAAGAGTGAAGGAAGCAATTTTATGGATTTCCCCATCAATATTAAAGTGTTTGTGTGCGGGTCTGTGAGGAACAGCAGCATCCATATTAAAGTATCTGGGTTTCTGGAATATGAGAATGCTGCACAGCTTGGCATGTGAGTGGTTAGTTTGCCGGAATTTAGGGAGTTCCCAGGGGCGATTCTAGGATTTTAATTTTATATATATATATAAAAATAAGATAAAAAATGTTTGATTAATAGGGGTCGTATACTAAACATATTGCAGTATTCCACTGTATTGCATAGATAGGTATAACATTTGAGTACTGAATAAGCCAAATTCAAGTCTTCATGATCTCACACACACAACCTGTTTACTGTACAAACACAAAATTTTACTGTTTGCATTTCTAGTACAACCCTCTTTCCTTAGCTCAAGTATGCAAACCTCTTTGCAACATGCACTGGAATATGCATTATATTGGATAAACACACACCTTGTCCTCTGTTTCTCGCTCTGCGCCGCCACGCTCTGCGGATTGATAAAGAACGTGCTGAAAGATGGGGAGGAGCCGATCGAAGTCTGCCGCCATTTTCATATGAAATTTATATATAGCCCCCCTAAAAATGGCCTAGCGACGGCCATGGGAGTTCCACTGTTCCAGCGTTAATTTATTCACATAACCATTTCAGAGTTATAACACTAGTTAACCTTACCTCACCTCGCACAGTAGCTTCACATGGGGCTAAGTGTCAACCTCAACATGTGACAGAGCAATATGGACTGATTTCCTTTGTAAGTTATAATTTTATCTTCACTGGGGGAAAAAAATCCATAAAAATAGGGGACAATGTACTGTATTAATTATGAAGGAATTTAGGTGTTTTACCTTGAATTTTGCACTTCATTGGGTTGTATTTTAGGGTTAATGGAAATGTCCGTAAAATTACTAGATAATGTCCTGTTCTTTTTTTTTTTCTTTTTCTTTAGTGTTGGTTGTCTGCTCATTTAGTGTTTTTTCTGCTCATTTTTTAAATATATATTTTATTAAAAGACATACATGTATATTAAAAGACATAACTTTCAGAGTTTATTACACTGTGTCTCACAATAGTGATTCATCTGTAAATACATTTATGCCGCCTTTGTACATTACAATTCACAAGTACAAGATTAAGTCTGTGAAAGTGTTTCTTATTGTGAGATATGGGTGGTTGGCATAAAATAATTTTAGGACATTGACATTTAAAATAATAAAATAAAAATATTTTGCTGATTCTTTTACAATTATGATGTATTCAGGTGCTATGATATATTAATTGAGAGACTAAGTGCAATATTTACATATATGCAATTAGCAGACACTTTTATCAGAAGCGGCATACAAAACAAAAGCAGTGTCAAAGAGTCAACAATATGTATACATAAATATTTACTTATATACATATATTTCTATAATTTATTGATCACATGACAGGACCCTTTAAATTAATTATGGCAAAAATGTGATTTAGACTGTGAAAAACAAAATAGAAATGTGGTCAAAATTTGCACTTACACATCCTTATTTTAGGTTAAAGGCACATTTTATGCATCAACTACCCATATACTGTATGTTGCTTCCACATCTTCTGCCATTAACATTTGAGGCTGAAACAAGATTTACAGTAATTGATTTGCAATGTAAAGATTAAAGATTTACAATGTTTACAGAGTTTGGCAGTAATCAATAACCTCAGGACTGTCATTTTATTTTTCCTTTGGAGAAAAATAACAAAATAATCAATTTCACCGCAGTCCCCAGTTTGCCACCACCGCAACATCAGACTGTTTGCATTATTCAGTATGTAGTAATACAATTGATATATCATTTCACAACCAGCATCCTCTTCCTAATGCATTTGTTTTATTTAGCTAACAGGGCGGCAAATATAAGTGCTTGTTGTGCTACTATATATGTGTGTGCGTCAGTCAGTTTGCACATAATTTTCCTTTCTAGTGCCCCTTGTGTTAGGCGTGTCTCATTTTAGAGTCAATTACAGGAATGTCTCAGTGCTGGCAGGAAGGGCCAAGTTACACTATACTGTGCTGCTGTACAGAAAACACTGGACTGGTTTACTTAACCCTACCGACCACTGGGGTGCTGCGCCCCTCAGGTTCTGGCTGAATAATCAATACGAGAGAGAGCGCGAAAAGAAAGAGAAATATAAATGGGATATAAACAGAGGAGACAGAGAGAGAGAGAGAGAGAGTTAAACACTTCAATTTTGTGCACATGTGTGCATGTTTCCAAACCTGTACATGTACAGTATGTGTGTATGTGACATTAAACATCTGGGCCAGTTCTGACAGATTACATTAGCCTTGAGGGCCAACAAGCTCTGCTGAGTTGTGCTCCTTATGGAACACTGAGAATGTATGAAAATAAATTCCCAGCAAACTCCTCATGTTAACTAGTCTTACTTCAGCAACCAAACTAAATGAGCTGAATAAATATTTATGTCTAGAAAAATGAACTGTAATGTGACAAAAAACACTTATTAGACTGACAATCAAGGTGAACAAGAACTGCAAATAAAAGCAAATAAATATGGCTTTTAGTATATATATATATATAGGGGTGCATATCGTTCTTAGGATACCAGCACCAGTAACAGCTTTTGTACCTTTTTTTCTGAGAGTGTAGCAATTGTATTTAGGCTTCAACATTTATAAAAGTTGTGTTCATTTTTGAAGATTATAATGATGAACAAAACCTGAAAGAATCAGAAACTTTTGTTGGTCACAGACCTTATTTTCTGCAATAATCCAAAAGGCAATGGCAAAACTTCCGAGTTGGCAAAAATATGTAATTTCTGCTGCACTCTATGTTTTATTTAGAAATATTGTGCTCCTTTTATGTAGCTCTCCGTTAGACACGCATGCGTTCATTCAGACTCATGCTCGCTTGGTTAAATCTGTGAAGTTTGCTGTCATTTCTAACATTTACATATATGGAAATAACTTCTGAATGCATTGAACAGCACACACATCTGTCAAAGCACCTAAAAGGGCAAGCCGTATTACTTTACACTTGTGAGATTTGTTGAAGCACTTCTCTGGTTTTTGAACATCTTGTGTCATGCACATTTCCCACAGAAGCTCAATCTGTGACCTCTATTATTTAGATGGGTTTTGTCCGTAGAAATGTATTTTTCAGTACTGTAAAACGATGTTACTAGCAGATGCTGCATGGTGTGCAGACCAACTAATTGATAATGAAATTTGTTCTCGATTATTTATAATCAATCAGTCTAACAAGGCTGTGTGAAGTACTGATCCTGAAAAGAAATAAGTTTGTTCCAATGCAGTTTTGATTCACTATAGGCAGTGCCTTACAGGTTGCTTGTTTGACCTGGAGGAGAATTTGTTAAGGTTCAGAGGAGTTCAGACACTCGTTTACTTCAAATTGATATTCTGACCCTTCCTGATTGCTTAGCTGGCACTGTGACTGATGGAAGCATGCAGATGCGTCTGGGAAAAGCTCTCCCTCACTTTCCCTCCCTGTGTTCTGCATCCGGGTCAGAGCTGGGTTAATTTTATCTCAGTCCCTGGCCTGAACACTGCTCCTTGGCATGGAGTCCCCCAGCAACACCAACACATACACATATCAGACAGCTGTTTAAATTTCCCTCTCTCTCGCGCCATCCCTCTAACTCTGAGATGGAAGGCAGCAGATTGAATTGAGAGTGTGTCAGGTGTTTATGCATCTCTGAAATTTTATGAGACGAGCTCTTCGTCCTCGACCTTGCTCTGAGTCAGAACTCTCGTTGGCTTCTTAGCCTGTTGTTTTATGTATTGATTTCAGCTCGAAAGATTCATTCGCCCCCCGTTCTATCACACCGAACCCATCACATTTGTGTAATATAAAGCTTTATAATACTGGAGTAGATGAATGCAAATGTACCACCATTATATTGTTATTACTGCCACCCAGGCAGAGAGAACAGGGCGTACATCACCTTGTCGCACCTGGACCTGCAATGAGAGAGATAGGCACACCAATTCCAATCAGGGAAAGTGTCAAAAGAGGAAAACAGCCTTGTGCTTTGGTACCAGACACCCTCCTTCCTGACTCTGCCAGTGATGGAGTCACCTTGCTTCAGGTGCTCGGGGTGAGCCTTTGTTTCCCTGGGCGCCTTGCCAATAATCAGGACAAAAGAGCCCAACCCTCAGAATCACTATACATCCCAAACTCCCCAAACCACAAAGACGTAGAGTCCTCATGCCCAGAGATACAGCTAAGCGTTCCTGTTAGAACAAGCTGAGCTATTAAACTATTTTGGGGTGTTGTTTGTTTCAGTTGTATCAAAGAGTTCAAGGCTGGCTGATTAACATGACCCTGTTAGCCTCAATTAACAGCCATTCAAAATTGGTATCCTTTTAAATACAACATGAAATGCAAAACTGACTGTATATTATTTCTTAATAAACATTCCTGGTCTTATCGAGCAGGTGTTATAAGTGCATGTAATTCCAACAAAAAAAATTTTTTTCATTATCTTTAATCAAAATTCAGTA